GCGCGACGTCGCCGGCGTTTCTGCAGTTTGAAACATGGCAATTGGCCAAGTTCAGGACCCGCGACACGATCGATACAACACTTTTTTGTTCCGTCTGTGTAGTCCCCATTTCTGCATTTGTTTTGCTTAGTCCTAGCAAATTGCCACGTTCCAACTTGTAAGGACCGGTAGCCGCCGCGTGCGGTGACCTACTTTCGCTTGCGCGGCGACCTCAGGGGGACTCTTGTCTCGCATCCAAATTTCTGAGGCGCATGCGCGTTAGCCTGTCGTCAACGTGTTAAAGCTACGTATAGTTGCATCTCTCGTAACTATTAGGCTGTCCAGAAAGTAGTCCGGGTTTATGACCACCACCTTCAAGGCGGTATATCTCATCACAATGTCAGCAATCCCAAAACTAGGCGTCTTCCTCAACAAGAAACAAGCCTAAATTAGTACGCGTTACTGGATTACATAGAAGAGAAATCATCGAAGGTCTTCTTCACGTCGCTCGTTTTTTGAATCTTTTCCTACCCAAGATATTGCCGAGAGAACTGAAAAAAATGAAAGGTAGTGAAAGGAGATCCTGCGAGTGTACTATGTGTATAGGCCGATTCGTCCAGTTTTTGCGAAGCCGCTTCTGCGGCATGTGTCTAAGCGTCAACATGAAGGAGGTTCTTCTCCTTCTCGAAGCTACAGAACTTGCTTTTCCAGTGCATCACTTGAGTGTTGGGCAGAAGTTTGACGATCTTTAGAAAAATTAGAAGCCCGAATCATTCTAAAACTTGGAAGTGTGTGGATTAAGAAGAGAACAAAATGAGCTTGTCAACGTTATACAACAATTCGGCATCTGAAAACAATTCCACCAAAATATCTGATAAATGTATTACACATTGAAAGCCGCATTGCTTCTTGGGTGACCAAATATTATACTGAGACTCATCTCAGTCTTGAAGAAGAAACGTCTTTGTCGCGCAATTACGAGTCGCGAGGATGGCAATCCAGGACCATCATGAAAGGTCAAGAAAATCGCAGATATATTGAAGGTGAAGCCAAAACAAAAAAAAGTTTTTGGAATGGAGTATTAGTCCCAGGTAGAAAGCATTTTTTCAAGGTCTTATGAAAAACTAAACATTCGAAGGTACACAATTTACTCGGTGTTTTCACAATTTTACGTACTTCATCGCAGGCTATACTCGCCCGAACCACACACTTCAATGAGATAGTTCGGCACAAAGCACAACATATTGGTGATCTAGCCCCTTGGCGTAACTCCACTTTCGTTATGGCATTCCTTGTGTAAGACGAAGAATATCACAGCCACTTAGCGTTAACTCTTTGAGGACAATAACACCCAGCAGTAAGTGACAATACGTGAATGCATAGTCATCAAAGGTCAGCTGTGAAATATATGCGATGCATAAACGACGAATCTACGGAGGTATTCAAAAAATACTAGTTGATAATCATCAAAGAACGACCCACTGTCAAAAGATGTCGAGACAGAATTTCTAGAAACTGCCTAAGTCGGGGTAAAGTAGGTTAATCGCAAGTGACTTAATACGCAAGGACCCAGGGTCAACCGTCCGTTCGAACTGTTCGAACGAAGGGGTCGCATTTTGGTCGGAAGGGGGTCGCAATTTCGAGGACTGCCAGCCACAGGCGCGTGCGTGGCGTATCCGAGGGCAAGAATTGTTTGTGCAGACCGCATTAGATTCGATTAATTATGCACAGAGAGACAGTTTTAGGCAAATTACGGTGTTTTCCTTGAGGAATAAAGAACAGTTGAATGCATCCCTATGAAAGGTTTGACTTCTCGGGGCTGAAATTAAAGTTCTTCGGGACCTAATTTTCTGAGGACGATTCCAGACAACGGTAAAACACATAAGAAAGCAGAAATCTCGTAGTCTTCAAAAATGTCTTCGCCCCCCCAACAAGTTCTTTGAAGGAAGTATTATTGCTGAAAGCTCAAAAACTCGCATGTGCTGCTCAAAAACCTATGGGAACAAAATGTTCGAACGTGTGATTTTCTCGGAAAATGGATTTTGAAAAACGGTTGCTTGTCAGAAAGAGCAAATCCTGTACTTTCACCCCATGAAAAAAGTGCATCTCAGAAATGAAAATGAAGTGAGTTATGCCCGCTTAAAGCCCAAAAACTCGCGATTTCAAAAAAAGTGTTCGGCAAAACCCCCCAAAATGTTCGAACGTGTGATTTTCTCGAAAAATGAACTTTGAAAAACGGTTTGGGGCTTGTTAGAAAGAGCAAATCCTGTACTTTCACCCCATGAAAAAAGTGCATCACAGAAATGAAAATGAAGTGAGTTATGGCCCTGAAAGCCCAAAAACTTACTGCGATTCTAACAGAAGTACTTCCGAGAGAGTTAGGCAATCCTTGTAGTTTTCTGGAAGCGCACCTCAGGCACAATCAAAATCTACCTCAACAAGTCAAAAAATACGTCCCAAGAAAGTTATTCCCCTCTAAAATTTTTTCTTCGCCGCGTCCCGTTCTTCCAGCGCCCGGGTGATACCTGCCGCGCTCCAAGGCCGACGCGACGACGCGCAGACGCTTTCTGGCGCAACGGATTCATGTCTAGCACTCTTATTAACAAAAACAGGGGGTCGCAACTGGACCCCCTCGAGAGCTAGGGGGTCGCAAAAATCCCGAAAATGTTCGAACGTGACGGTTGACCCTGCCCAAATGCTCCGCTTCTCTGGGATCACAACAGATTAGGCCATGGAGATAAAAGCACTCAATTGAGTTGAACCTCGATTAGCTCACTTGACCCACGAAAATCATTGTTTTGCCCAGAAGGGCATTTGAAGGCCTCTGCGACGTTGAATACAGTCGCCCCACATATTCTTTACCTTTGGTTCTGAGGAATTGTCGAAGCGGAGCAGTGCTTATGTTGTCACTGCATGACTATCTAGACATCGAGCAGAATTGCTGAATAGCTATTCCACTCCAAAAAAATTCTCTTGAGCGGCCATTGAAAACCACAAGTAGTTCACAATACAAACATGCAACAGACAGGTTCTTATGAAAACATACGAATCGGTTTGACAGGAGTGAATTGAGCATAAAAGACAGCTAAAGATTGTATCAACTATGAAAATTCGTGTGTGTTCACAGTTCGCGAAATCACATTGAACGGGGCAAAGCAGTAAAACGAGTACATTTTCTTGAGCCAAATAGGACGAAGTCGGTCAAAGAAACGGAAAGTAAGTGTCAAATATGCAGAAAAAAGCAATAGCGCGCCCAGCTTCGAGCTAGAAATTTTTCGCGACTTATGGATTTGCCTGAATTTTTTTCACACCGTCCTGTTTTCATTCGTAGACATCATTCACAGCGGGATGTACATACGGATAGAGCGCGCTTCGCCTACGCCTGCTGCAGATTGAGGCAGGGCGACACAAAGCGCCTCCCATAGATCGCCTATTTTGAAAACTGAGCTACTAGTGGGATTCAGAAAAAATTTCCATAAATTACCTGCCGAAACAAATTTTTAATTGATTTAGCAAAATCTGCGCCCATTAGTCCTAGTCAGTGAAGACCATGAACCGAATCGACAATCTTGTCTTCTACGTTAAAAAAATAAGTAGTTCTGCACTGCAAAATTCGGGGGTTATTCCGCGAAGTTGCAACTGTAGGGAAAACCGATAATTCTACTGTTTTCACATCTAGGGAATCCGCGGTGCCCAAGTGCAGCGTTAACTGTGGAAGACATGTAGTTTCAATATGATCCCTCCCCTCTTCTTCCGAGAGTACACAGTCTTGAGCCATTCCATATCATTCTTAATAATAGTGAATGACCCGTTTTGTTGTCGGCACCTTGCTTCCTCATCCTAGATCCCCATATATCCCTTCCGAGAATATTTTTGACTGTTTACCGCAAATTAAACAGTAACTTGCTAAGTAAGGAAATTTATTTTGAGCAGAGCCATTGTGGTCTAGTATTTGAACATAACTGTTGAATTTTTCTTTATTGTAATTGAGTAAGTAAGTCTCAAATGATTTAAGAACTTGTGGATAAAGCAACAATTACTGTGGGCAGTTTGTTATAAAATGCTATAATTACTGTGAAGCAAGAAAAAGTTGTCACAATT